GTTGCTTTAATATAAAGATAAGAGTTTACCATTATGGTTTAGGAATGATTTTGAGCAAATAACCGCCGCGGTCGCCTCGAACAAATTCCAGTCGTAAAGCCCAATTTTCGACCACTTTTTGCAACAATTGGGGCCGAATATCAGCAATACGCGCATAGTATTTTCTTCCAAGGCGTCAATCGTCTCGTCAGAAGTGACAGCAACATCCTCCAATTCAGGCACGAAAAATCATTATGACACTAAGCGTTCCCTATTGATATTAAATATGAACCAATGATGCCATAGAGCATACCAGCGACCTTTTGAGGATGAAACGGTATCTCAACAATTACTTGTGGATTATCATCATTTAAAAAGCGACAATTGTGTTTATTAACCTACACATTCAACCAAAACTGAGCTTCAGCGCTTAACAAACCCTTTTTGGGAAAATCGGGATCGGTGGCCATCTCGTCTTGGCCCCATTCACCGAACGTGCGATGCGCTTGATAATCATTTCGCTTCAATTCTCGCACGAGTTGGATTTTGTAAGTCCACAAACCAAGATCCTTCCGCAAAATCTTTCACAAAGTGAATTTGCACAGCTCCAAACTTTTCAGATTTAGTTATATAATTAGTTGCTATAAGAAGTCCAGTGAAATAAATTATAGCTTCAGTGCAGGCGAAGTTACATTTTTTCTTGTTTATTCATAGTCTGAAAGAAAATACCACACTCAAATACGCAACCCATATTATTGCATCAGTTCATCATATTTATATACCCATATTATATAATACTAATTGCCAGTAAAATAATATTTTGCTCTTTCTTGAAAGAAAATTCATAATTTCTAATTATTTTCATTTTTATTAAGACATAAATGTATTTTACTCATTAAAATTTGTATTAAAATTTGCTACTTTCATCCATCGAATGCTGAAAAATAAACTTTTCCTCTACGTACCCGAGCACCCATGTATGTTACTCGTATTTATCTAACTGTGAGTGTGTTGAGTCATTAAATGATGCAGTCGCAGGAAAAATAAGAAACACGAAATTAAACAATTTATTGTAATTATGCATCAAATGTAAAGCTAAATATTTTCTTAAATATATGGACTCGAAATTAACCCAGTTTATAATCGTTGCAAACAAGTCAAATGTCTAGAAAAACGAAAATTTATACAGCGACAAGCCATTAGCAGCCAAACAAAAAGAAAGCAAATTATAATACTAAGAAACTGATGATTGTGAAAAAATAAGAGACTCTTTGTATGTGGTATCTCATATTTAAATTTGTTTAATTATTTGGCGCGCAAATGAACTAAACTGCTGGCAGGCTGGGAGCAGATGTCACGAAAGCGTATGCCTGCTGAAAAAAGTAATATTATTTTGAAAATAACCAAACGAAAATTAAAAAAAAAATTATGTAAAGGCTGTGAGAGAGCGTTTGGCAAATGGGTATGAATGGACACATGTGTTGTATGTCGCTACCTCTTTTTTGTTGCTGTCATGTTCGTTTAGCAAACAACACGACATATTGTCGGCACACTTTCGGAAGAACAAATTGGCGTTAAAACAAGAATGTGAAAAAATAATACGTTTGAAATGGAAGCTGAGAGTAAATCTAAAATGAAAATTGAGGTACAAGATCAATGCAACACAAAGATGCACACAAACTGTAGAACACCATATAAGACTTTGGAGTTTATATAATCAATAACATAAATTTTAAAGTTTTGCAAATAAGGTATTAAATTATTAATTGAAAAATTATATATTATAATTCTAATATATTTATCATTGAATATAATCCTCTTGATAGTTAATACAAGAAGAAAAGCTAAAACATGCTATATATTAGGACAGTCTAAGGAACTGCTAAGCCTTTTCTTTGCCCTTTCTTTAAAAAAAAAAATACTAAAAATTCGAGTTTATTATGCAACATACTAGATATTTATGACGAAAGAGTCATTTTGTGATGTTTTGCCGTTGGCTCCAAAAGAGACGATCATTTCTACATTGTTGCCAAATTTCTTTCTAGCCTGCTCGATTATGAAATCTGGGAACAGAAAAGTCGCTGTGTGCCAGAACACCAGATTATGTTGCACTCGTAAACAATTTAAGCAATTTTTCGATTGTTTTAATTCATTGTGACAAGGTTTTGATGATATTATTCTTCAGATATGGTAGGACGGTTTTCCTTTAAATTCTAGATCGACATCAAAATAGATTATATTTTCACCGAATACTTTGTCATTGCCGGCAAACTTCTTTCCAGTGAGCTTAATTTAGAGGTCTGGGAACAGAAAAACTATGAACCAGATCCCCAGATTAACTTGAAAGCAAGCCGAAGTCCAATTCTAGCAATTTTCCGATCATTTTCATTCATTGTGACATGGTTTTGATGAAATAGAGTTTTCTACAGCTTCAAATAAGGCCGATGTAAATCGATTTCGAAGCAGACTTCTCGATGATTAATCGTATACTGTTGTCAAATTTATTTCTAGTGAGCTTAATTTTGAGCTCTGAGTACAGAAAAAGTCGTTCACAGCGATCCCAAGATTTAAGTGACCACGGAAATAATCCGAAGCCCTTTTCGATCGTTTTAATTGATTTGCATCAAGGTGTATTATTTTAATGAAACGGTGATTTTTTTTCTTCAAAAGGGACTGTTTTTCCTGCATTTCAAAATGTTCCCCACCCTCGGCGATTAACTACATTGTTGCCAAATTTCTTTTCAGCTAGCTGAATCGATTTACTCTACATTGTTACCGAATTTCTTTCCAGCGAGCTTAATCTTGAGATCTAGGATCTTTAAACCGGTCCAATAATAATATATTATGTAATATGTTGGTCGCTGTTGTAGAGCGAGTCTTCATTGGCCAATGTACATCCCAAATTATAGACGCTATAACTTAGTCAGCTCGTTCCATCAACTTCAGTCCACTTGGATGACTATCTTGAACTTTGAAATAAAATTCTGAAGCCATATTTTAGCCATTGTCAAATAAGACTGAACCATTTATTATGCTTGATCAGCTCAGAATAATGTTCAGAAACATTAATTCGTTTTTGTTTTTATCATTTATAAGCTTATGATCCTTCAAAAATATTTTATAGAGTTTTTGATATTTTCATAGCTGTATCTTTTGGACGTCAGTACTCTTGTGGTAACAATCCTTATTTTGCCGATATTTAGCTAAACACTAACGAAATGTTGCTTCATCTGGCGCCAAGCCTGGTTAAAACTCCATATAGTCATTATTTGTTGTCAGTAGTCATGGTTTTAATGCGATTTCGTCCATATTAATACCATGATGGGTATATACTTCTATGAATATACGCACTAAGTTTAGTTAAAATCGGTTATGTTATCCAAAATTGAGCGGATGCACGATTATAGTTTTAAACTTATTCTGAGTTGAGCCTATCACAGGTTCCCATCGTTGAATTATAAGTTTCCGATCTTTTCTTACAGGGGTATGCGATATAATTTTTTTTGAATTATGAAGAATGTGCATGTATATTAAGCGCCTTTGACTAGTTGAAGCTACTTTATGAGTTATAGGCATTCAACTTATTGAATAAGCTACATTTTTAAAAGATCTAAATGCCATATGCAAATGTTTCGCAAAATATATCATTAATATAGTTATATTAAGTAATTTGAAATTTTAATTACTTAATTAATGTTGCTCAAAATTATTTGGCAAATAGAGTATGCATGTGTACCATACATGACAAAAATCGACCAGACAACACAGAAAAAAATTTGAAGGCGACATACAAATGTAGATACTTGTAATGTAAAGCTGAGTGGCAAAAACAAGAAATGGGTGAATGAAACTGACTCATTTGTAATAGTCACACATACAAAAATTGTAAAATAAATATACAAATTAATTAAATAAATTATTAATATAAATATGTTGTGACTCACTATATATTAGCCGCGTTATTGGCTTAGCATTGTAATTACGCGCAAATAAATAGTATTACTATTCAACATTATTTGGCAGCAACAGGAATTTAGTTTAACAATTTAATCGAAACATTCATATAAGCCAAGCAAAAATTATAATAAAGTGTCATAAGCAAAACAATAATATAGCTAATTTAAAGTTTTGTTAATATATAAATTCTTTATTATACATATGCTATACACAATATAGTACATACATACCCATATATATATATATATTAATATAAAAATGTGCGCTGAAGTATCTACATACAAATTATTGTGCATAGACAAATGTAGCGTATACGCCCACGCGTCTGCAGAACAAACAGATCGACCGGCATGCATATTTGCATACATATAAATATATATATACATTTGTTGGTGAGGTACCATTAAAGTATATATACATATACATATTTGTTTTTGCCCATTAATTATAGTGACAACTGTAACGCTTGAATTCTTCTGCAAGAAGGATTAAAAACAAACACGCATAGTATATATGTATATATTTGCCGATATGCTATTTAGCATGGCTAGGCCATTGGAATAAATGGGTGAACAATTTGAAAATTATGTGAGATTAAAAATTGATCGGCGAGGATTAGTTGCTAAGCAGGAATTTATGTGGGAAAAGTTAAAAAAAATTAACTTCAAAAAGGAATGCGAAATATTTGGAGACAAATTGTTTGAAATATTTCGAAGCAGTGGTTAAATATACTTTTGCACAAAAATAAAATATTAAAGGCATTTAAAGAGTAATATTTAAAAATTAAAAAATAAAAAAAAGTAAAAAAGTTTAAAATAAAATTTAAAAAGTAAAAAAAAATATAATGAAAAAAAGTTATAAAAACATAAAATTTTAAACGTGTACTATGTACAGAATAACTTAAAAATATTTTTGTATTTACTAAAAATAAATTGTTCAAAATTTTTTCTTTAAAATTTTAAGGACATTTATTTTTATATACATAAATAATACACAATACAAAGTACGAGTACGAGTACAACTATTTACAATGAATATTCGAGGTACAATTAATTGTAATTATGTTTTTTTTTTTTGGTTTTTTTAATGTTATTTTGTTGCACAATGTGTTTGCTTAAGAACTGTGTCAGCATGTCTTTGCAGCATAAAGTAAATTTTCTAAAGAAAATTTTAAACAAAAAACATATAAGTTTAAGAAAACTTGAATGAAATTATGATAAATTAAAATCGAAAACATTTTCTTATATATTATAAATATGCCAGCGGCATTTTTGTTTCAATTTTTCAAAATTAACTTATGCATAAACATGATTTGCAACCGATTTCCAGCGCTGTGGTGTTTTTCGGAGATTTTCAAATATACTTTTTGCTTGAATTTCTAATTTTCTTCATTCACTTTTTCAGCTCCCGCCCACTTACTTCACCTCCTTCACTTTCTCTGCCTCCAAATAGCTACGCATCACGCAATCACCCAGTCCCAGCTTGTCCATAATCTCCAATATATCTTCACAGAATTTTGCCTTAGCCGCCACTTCCTCATCATCGCAATCTTCTCGACTCTTCGACAGGCGTGCTATTACTTGTAGTTTTGCATCGATTACAACGTAATTGCTATCCGGTATAAAGCCGGAGCTTTTGTCTCTCAAATACAGCACCACCGATTTGAGTGACTTCGAGTTGAATTTCGAACTTATCGCGCCGGAGGCGAAATCTTGTGATTTTATCAATTGCGCATGCGTAGATTTCTGTTTGCAAACCAAGCAATTCCAGTTAGGGTGCGGCAGGCCGGTGGTTTCGGGTACGGCAAGACCCGAACAGTTCGTATCGCGACAGTAGAGAGCGGAAATGAAAGCGCCTTTTTCCTTTTTTGAGTAGATGGGGAAAAGAAAGTTTGGGAATATGATTACTATTTGAAGATAATGTATTGAAAATACACGCATCACAGTTGTAAATGCTCACATGCTCTCAAACTCACATACACTACGCTCAAATTAAAAGCCTTTGCAATACAAATATATATAAATATAGACAGAAATATTATATTTACAAAAATTTTAAGAATAAACTATCTGAATTTTCTCAACATAGAAAAAAAACTAAAAAATATATCCGCTTTATTATAACCCATAAATATTAATGTTATTGCTTAGTCTGCTATTTATCAAGATATTTTTCGCTGTTTGAAGGCCTACTCATATTCATTCTATAATACATATTTATATCCTCACTAAACTAATAGTTCTATAATATACTATATACTTGATACCTTAATAAATATTTGTGTCTATGCATAAATAAAAAAAAATTTGAAAACATATTTGCTTGAATTTTAAACAAAAACAATTTATAAGTTCAATTTTAATATAATCTATTCCAACCAATGCACATAACCTAACCAGCTTCTCTGAATCGATAATAATTAAAGCTTCCTGTCTATTTTTTCAAAGCACAATACAAAAATATATTTAAAAATAATAATAAAAGATAACAGAATAATTAGAAGAGCACTGTTTCCACATTATTACTCTACTTTATTTAAAAAAAAAAATATACTTGAGATTGTAACGGGTTTTATCACTTAATGAGCCGAAAAAATACCATGCTTTTGACTAAGACTCCAAATCTCGAAGTCAAAATATTCACCTTCAATTCAATATGGGTATACCTATACTGCTATAACCTACTGCTATTAATTCAGATTGTTTGTCTTTTTCTAAGTTACGCTTATTTTAAGGGGTTACATTGGTTTCACGGCTTCCACAATGCTCAAGTTGATACCAATAATAGTTTAGGAGATACAGCTTTTAAAAGTTGCGCGCTTGAGGTCAGCTATATACTTATATAGTCACTTAAAACTTAAAGCGCGTTTTTCTCGAAACTGTGCTTTCAAAGTCGGTTGTCAAGATTTCTCACAAACTACTCAACCGATCTTAATAATCTCACAGGTCTATAATTTACAAGGTCTTTCCGCGGCGAAGGCACCAAAATTTGCGTGTTTTTGTAAAAACGTCTGCCAAAAATTATTTTGTTTGTAATTTATTTGTTTATTTATTATTATTTGTTTATTTGTTTTTTTTCTGCTAGTTAATTTCTAGTTAATGGTCTTAGTTGAAACACGTATTTTTTTCGTATTCAACGCGGAAGCCACTTCATTCCGAGCGACTGACGTCGTAATGATCGAAATTTTAATATTTCCCTTTAAAAATTTCACAAAATCTTTATCAAATTTATTTCTTAGGAATAGTAAAAAGTTTGAATAAAATCTTTCATTTTATATATGAAAAAAAAAAATTATTGGAAATAGGGCGTTTTTTGCTCGACGAAACCCATGTAACCCCTTAAGTCAGTAATCGAATACCAACAAAATAATTTTGACTATCACAAACTACTCCATAAAAAAATAGAAATGTAGATTGATATAACTCTATTATGTTCATGTGAAATTTGTTCTCCATATGTCAATTAGTATTTATGACAGCTTGTTTATTACCTGGAACATTCCTACTAAGCGATTTTTACCTTGAAAAAAAGTTTAATAACGAATTTGTTTAAAATTTTGTGTTTCCAATTGAGTCACGGCTACGGAATCGTTGCAAATGTTGCAGAGTTGTTTTAAGGAGTCTACTTTATCACGAACATAAAGTATTTAAGTGACACAAAGCATTCAGTGAAAGTCGTGAAGTCAGCGAAAACTTGTCTCCTGCAAGTCGCCCATCCACCTCAATGCTAGACTCATAATAAAAGGCCTGAGAATTGTATTGAAATAGAGCAAAATGTAGTTTTTGTCAGTTCGTGTCAAATTTGATCAGATTGGATGTCATGATTAATTTCTATTTCTTTCAAAATATCATTGGGTGAAAAAACCTCAAGGCTTAACTAAAAGCAATTTAAATAATATTTCAATATTGGTCGAAAACAGAAATCGAACACAGATTCTTTTGAGTGTCAGAATGTACATCTAACAGCTACATAGAGAAAATCTATCGCTGGTTAAAAATTTCAAAATTCCTTTTGCAATATATTCAAATACTTATTATAATTCCAATATTCTTTACTAGATCATAAAATAGACTGTTTCTTTAATCCCACAACTAAAAGTCGCCTAAATAAGAGTCTATTAAAAGAACTGTAGAAATGCACACCTTAATACAGTAAAAATTCAAGGTCATACAAAGAACCGTCTAAACAAAATGCAGAGACAGGTAACGTTTGAAAGAATTGATTTCGTAGAGAACAAAAAGCAATAAAACGAAAAAATTATGGTAAATATTTACTACATTACATTAGTTTCGCAATAAATTATCTTTCGTCTAATACACGTTTAACGAACTTGAAAATATGCCTTCTTTTTATTAACCAAAAACTGTTCAACATTCGAGACACTACCAAATATACAAGTGTTTTATCTTTTCTATTTAGATTTCAAAGCAATTTTCTCGTCACTGGAAACACACAGTCACAGAAATTGCCAGCCAATTTGAAGAAAGAAATCTCACTAGCCATCGCCACTTAGTACTTGGCGTACGCCGATTGCCCACGTGTGACCCAAGTTCAAGAACAACAACAGAATGTCGAAAATGATCACACAGCCGATCAGTCAGTTTGACATGCATACGTCCAACAAGGCGCCCCACAGCAGCCACTTGCTCGCTATTGTTTTTGTTTTGGCCTGCTTTTCCACACAATTAAATATTTTGCTTTCGGAATTTCATTTTGTATGTTTTGATTTCATTCTAAATTTTGTTTTCATTTTACCCATACACACTAAGTTCTGAGTGTTTATTTTTCTAAGCAAATATGATTGCTAATTTAATTAGCACCTTATTGTCGCGAGGCAGACGAAACTAATGAACGAAAACGCATAGGAAAACCTTGTGAAATATACTAGTCTAACTGTTTTCTTCCATTGAGCAGGCAAAGAAAAAAATTTTTGCTAGTAGCTACTACTAGCTACTTCATATTTATTGAAATTTTCTTGATTAAATCATATCTTGATCGAACTTCATTCGCGTTGAGTTTTTGCACCCGACCAAGTGATTTCCCCGATTGTATTGCTGCTGTATTATAAACTTTATAAAAATTTCTTCTCACATAAACACTTACGAGAACAGTCCGATAAGCACGTAACTTTACCGACCGATGGCCCCACCTAACTCAAGAAATGCTATCATAATCCGAATCGGACACGTAGTTTGGTAATTTATGGCTCTAATAAGTTTAGAAAAATTGAAAAAGGGTCGGTTCGATTCCAGTTTTCCTATAGTAAACTGTAATAATAAAATGGTCTTACGTCGGTTTTGGATAAACCATTTCCAGGTAGCATGAAAACGGCTACCACAAAGGAATAAGCGTCCATGATCTTATATTGATTAGAAGATCGTGAGATAGCTGTTATAGCAGGCATTTCAAACTTTGTACACGAATGTTGGCGGATTGAGTTCCGCGTTTATTCACTCTGAACAATAAGAAACGTGGATTCTCTGGTACACAAAAGAGGCCCAGGTATAGTCAAAACAGTAGACTTCACCCGGCGAGCCTGGTATGATGAAGACCAAAAATATAATATGTATCGTTTGGGGATGTAATCTACATAAACTACTTGGAAAAGGGCAAAACTACCTACTCTACAATACCGAATTATTAGACTTAATCAATGCCGAATTTCAGAAAAATAGCATAAGTATCCACTGTAATCTAGATTGGCAATAAGAAGTTTATCGCCGCCACGAATACGGGCTACTTTGCAGACTCCCAAAATATGTATTTTTCAGACGGTAAAAGAAGTTAGAGCATCGCTGAGTCAATTATAATGAGCTAAAAGTAGATTTTGTGGAGAAGTCAATCACTTATTATATATTTATATTATATTTTTTTATATATATTTTGTGGGCTAAGTACTTATTGGACAGCCCTCATTTATATAAGTGAAATATATACAATACTTATACTTATATAAATGAGTAATATTTTTTTTTCTGTCAATCGTAAAATCCTACAATTTGTTATGCCACATATCTTCACACGCATCGCAGACTCTCTAAGGCGCACGAATAAATTATTTAAATGCTACAATAACACTTTAGGTAGCACGAATCATGTTATATTCAAAATATGGTAAATACCCATTTAAATGCTCTGGGCAAAATCGTTAAAAATCTAAATGACTACTGAGTATCCCCATAAATTTATTTTATAGTCAACGGCTTTCTTGTAGGGCGTTTTCATAGCATCTCCCTTGAAAAAACAAACATTTCATGTCAAATATTGAAAAAGTTACGCGTATATGCTTTTAGCAATAACCATTGCACGTAAATGTGTATGTTGATTAAATATTTAAATTATTTATTTTTGAGCTGCTTAGCGTGCCAATTCTGTCACATATTTTATGATTAGGGATTTGTTTATGAATTTATTTACGTTTTTGATGTTAATTAGCTGCCTATTGCTATAAATTGTTCACTTTAATTTTTGAAAAAAAAAATTACGTTGAATTTGCGAGCAGTAAATGGCGCATATAATTTTCAATAATTTTTATGGAATTCGAGGTGTTATCATGAGTAAATGGCGACATATGACCGTTTGCTTGTTGGCAAGGCAAAGTCATTAAGAACTCAGATATGATCAAGGCTGCAAGTGGCTGTCCACTCAAGGCTAGTGGAGGAGTGCCTAGTATCTTAATTAAATATTTTATATATAGGGTGGAATCGCTGAGCTCGCAAGCAAACGCAGCTTGATACATTATCACCAGGCAATACATCTGCGATCGTAATGACAGTTAAGCCTGAAGCGATTCACAAGGGATCTGATGTGAATCGAAAGCAGGTCACTAGCCAAAAAGATTCTAAGCGAGCACTGTCACATAAAAATATATTCATACAGTGAGACCGGTTACTTGCGAAGTTGTTTCGAAAGAGGAGAGAGAAATATCTCAGCACATCCTTCTTGAAAATTTAACCTTTGTGAAACTAAGGGTAAACCATGTTGGAACTAATACCTTCAACTATTCAGGCGAATCTATCACCTCTAGCAGAATTGTGATGGACTTAAAATGCTTCGTCGAGGGTTTATATTAATTCTTAAAAGATAATTATACACACAGATTATTCCACAGAAAACTTATCTGTTTTCCCTAAAAATGTTTTAAAACGTGTTATAGTCTTCTAGTTTATCACGAACACAAATATTTAAGTAGCACAAAGCATTCAGTGAAGGTCGTGAAGTCATCAGAAACTTGCCTACTGCGAGTCGTCCATCCACCTCTGTTAATAACGATAACATCGCAAAAGTTAAAGGAACAGTGCTTGAAAATCATCGTGTTGGCATCAGAATTATAGTTATGGATCTCAAAATCGGTTATGGATTAGATAGACTTTTACCAAAAGACCTGAAACTTTTGCAAAAACGACGTCGAGTAGAGGTCACAAAAATGATGCTTAACAACATAGATGAGGATGCTATATTCATCAAACGCATTATTTCTGGTACAGAGATGTGGGTTTATGAATATAACGTCGAAACTGTCCTACAAAAATATTTTAAATGGCATTTCAAAAATGAGCCGAAAGTGAAAAAACCAAAATTTGCTGAAGGCACTAAAGGTCGTCCCAGCCAAAGCATTAATCAAATGTATGGAAAATTTGATTAATCGTTGGCATCCTTGTATTGGGTCAAACGGCCATAAAAAATATGTCTATTAAAATTTTTGAAAATGTAGTTTTTTGTCAGTCCGGTTAATGCTCTTCGTCATCTATTGTATGATTAGAAGTGTTAAACCTAACAGAATGCATGAATGATCCATGTGCAGCAGTAAACTACAGCCAGAAGGTCATTTGTTGTTGGATTATTCAAGGCGTTGCAACGCTGTTCATGAATATCGAGTTAAAAAATTTCATTATTTTAGAGGCTCACTTACAGAAATTTTAAGAGTACTGAGCATAGGCAATGACAAAAAACATTTTCACACATTTTATTTACTTTTCTATAACACTCTTAACTCTCTTCGCTTCGAAAATTACACTTTCACATATCACTTTCTCCCAAATATTAATCACCTAAACTCACTCGCATAGGCACACTTACTGTTGGATCGGAGCAACGCGGACACTTGCAGGTGAATCCTTTCTTCATTTTCAAAAACAAATGGCGTGCAGTATTGCTCGTAAACAATTTCGTATATGTGGTGGTGATCTCAGTGCCAGCTGATATATCCACCGAAGCGCGCACCACCATATTTCTGGTTTTCTCCTCGAACGTGTAATATGAATTGGGAATGCAATCGTGATTCATGACAGCGAATAATGGGAATAAAGCGCGATAGAGAAACTCTGCATTATCATTGGAACGATCGGCGGTCTCATCGAAGCCATTTGTACGCAACACCGCAACAGTACGATTCATAATCTCAATCACTTTTTTATCGGTGGGAAATTCGTTGAAACCCTTAGCGGCATTACGTACTTCCGTACGATGATTATTATCCAAATTTGCTTGTAAACAATAGATGAGATCACGTTGATCCTTCGTCAAATTGATAGCACGCCCGACGCACAGCAAACGAATAAGCAGTGAGTTGGCCACATCCGGTTCGCAAGGTTTCCACGATTGGAAGAGGGTACAATCGGCTTTGTGTTGTTGCTTTTTGCCACACAGAGAACAAATGGGCAAACCACAACCCTGACGACACATAAACTTTGTATCCGGCAACATTTTGAAGCAATTCGAACACGAGTTTAGCGTATCCTCAGCGCGTGCAGAAGGACCGATCAGCAGCGGACTGTCGCGAAAGATCACATCACCACGTTTGATGTCGCGTGTGGCCATAATGCCGCGTCCAGCTATTTTAGAGACACCTATTTCCCAAGCAGGATCAGTGTCCTTAAAGGGCGCCAAATGTAGTGTGATTAACTCTGCGGTGCGCTTCGGACAAATCATAATTTTTTTTGTGTGTGTTGTTATAAAATTGTTATAATGGGAATCCGCAAAATCAGTAGGTGTACACAAGCACACAGTTGCAATCAAATTGTCTTTTTTTTCAGTAAAAATTTATTTCAAATTTTAAAATTAAATAATCCCTTGTCAATGCACTAATTTCACGTTTTTTGTTGTTTTCTTATTTAATTTTTAGTTTTGCACACGTCTACCGTTATATCAAGTGTGAGAGCTTTCACTTAGCAGATTTTTTAAATATTTCGCTCTGCGTAGCCGTTGGCAAACTGTCGCCGTTTTCCAGTTTACAACGCTTTTATTCGAAAATCACAGCAGTTTTTAAATAAGTGTGTGAAATTTACTTGATCTCAAAATAAATGACGAAGCGATCGTCGAGATTCAACCACTACAGCGCCGATCATGAGCGCTATGTATATACTCACAGAGAGTGAGCATAAGTATGTGAGTGAAATTAACGAAATCTTGCAAATTTCTTAATTTGAATTTAATTCGATTCAAATTGAGTGCTCGATGCCGTGTAGACCATTGAAAGCGCCTACAAATAGTGTTGGTATTTTTGCGGTTTTAGTTTAGTGAGTACTCAGGGAGCTAAGAAACTGGTACGTTGAATAAATTAAAATATTTATAATATTTTTTAAAACTATAGAAGTATTCGGTACATAGACGAAGTTTATGAAATTTGAGTTTATAACTAGCCTAACCTTCAAAACACAGAGTAGTGCAATTCGTGTCCGAAATGGTGCATCCTGGGTAACGCTAAATGACCTGCGGTTTTCATAACCTTATCAACTTTTGGACTGGACTTTAGCTTTGACATGGAGCATGATTAGGAATTAACTTTTTGAATTTTGGTTTGATTGCTGGGCTGGTAGTTGCGACATTCTGCCACTTGAGTATGCTCGGGGGACACTCAGCCTAATGTCGTAATTACCTCCGCCCCCGTCAGCATTTACTTGCTGTGGTAGATGTGGGTTGAGAAGACTCGCTCTTTACGCTGGTCGGCTCTCAAGAGAGACAACATTTGAACCATTAAAAGCTACTACCTTACGAGTAACGGATAGCAGCTCTGAGTGGGGACCCATTTAGTTATGAAATTTTCACATAAATCTAACGAGAGGAAGACGAAGTCGGGAGTTGAAGGGAAATAAGAACCGGAACCTATATCTATCTCTGGAAGTGTAGAACCCCCCTAAAGGGGCCGGTGCAGCCTCTATTTTGAGTGCATGTAGCCCTAGGAAACTAGGGCCAGGAAACAGAAGTCGGACCGACGTTTGGCCCCCAAAATTATGAAGCACTACGGTGATAGACAGGCTAAGCAAGTAACTCTTCAACATGCCAGTACGCTAGAGTGGGCTAGAGGGGTTCTGAGCGAAGTGTTAGTGAGGAAACTGAACAGCACGTGATCCAAACGTCAGTCAAGCAGCAAAGATCACTTGAGGGAGAAGCCTCTCTCGGTAAAAATCCGCGTACGGGAATTGGACAACATTTACGAAATCGCCAAGTGCGCACATTCTATTGAACGTGGCGTATTTGCAGTACGGAGGATGGTGTCATCTCCCATAAAGAGTAGAAAAAGATGGCTGGAGTCATTTCCTCGGTTTTCATGAAAATTATCAGAGGGAACCCTCTGGCCTCCTCCAAGGTTTGAAAGTGCCGGGTGGTACCATGGGCTTCACAAGCTCATAAAGTGTGCTGATGAGCGATTTTCAACTCTCTACAAAGATGTGGGAGATGTGTGAAAATGGGCCAAATTGAAGGTCGTTGATCTTCCACTGTTCGGGTCTGAGGAACCGAACCGAGGAACCTTAGCAAACCGAGCAAGCGCTGATACTGCTCAATGCGGAGTCCCTCAGCACTCTCAAGGAATCCAGCCATAAGCAATGGCTTTGAAAAGGGGACTCTAATGATCTTCCCTACGGATACCTAGAGGAATGGCCTTCAACCCCCTAATGCGTTAGAGGAAAAGGAAGGAGATGACCTATGAACCAAAGAGGTAGACCCGGAGTTATCGCAATTATTATTCGTATTTTAAAAGAAAACATTATATATTGGTAAAAGTAATGGCAAAAAAATATAACTACTTGCGGGTACTCGGTTCGGCAGTCTCGTTTTGCCAACATTAAATAAGATTAGACTTCAATTTGTCACTCTCATTGCACTGACAGCTCCCACAATGCAACTACGGGAGACTCGACCACTCAATGAGCTGGCAGAAACCCAAACGAACACAGTCACGATGGCGTAGGCGCACAGTGACCGCAGGTAAGAAGGTGCACGAAATTATAATGATGAAGATAATGATGATGCCGCAAAATGTCGTTGGCTTAAAGCACTGGGCACACACCCGGTATGCTGCTGTTCTCTACAAAGATGATACTCGACGATATTGCACTTCGGGTGTTGAGCAAAAACAGAAACAAAAACAAAATGCTCCCACACACTTGCATGCTTGGCCGCCCTGTGGAATTATGAATTTATCGCTGGCGGATCAGCCAAACGCGCATGAAATTATGATGCTCACACAATGTTGGCGAAATATTCGTGAGGTGCTCGACTGTAGGATTACTTTGACGCTGTAATTAAAACTTTCGGTTTTTGTTTTTGGTGGTAATGTAATGAATATATTGTACATATACATTTTGTAGTACAAGTACTCATAACAAGTTGTGTTTATCGGAATATTATTAAAATATATTTATATAATTGGTGTCTTGTTGTGTCACGAGCACTTTGACGTAAATAATTCTAGCTGCAGAAATTCGTAATTCTTGCATATTTTTCCGCTGATTCAGCTCTGTGAATATTGTTACTTGTATACCCTTTATTTTGCTGTTTTTGTTATTGTTGACTGTGGTTGATGTTAATATCACGTTTTCAATTGCAACAACACTGTTAGCGTTTAGAAAATTTTTGCGTATATTTTTAAAAAAATTTCTGGATGTTTTTATTTCAAAATTCATACATTTCCCTCTGAAACTTGTCCATCATATAATTCTAAATATTCTTTCAATTATATTTATGCGCATTTCGAAATCGAAAATTGTCAATTAAATTTTTATATCAATTAAAATTTGCGCTTGCATACCACCGCAACAAAACAAATTAAATATTGGGAAAAAATCATTAATAAAATCATTTAAAAATTTCTGTTAAAATTGAAAATTTTGTTTTGCTTTTTTTTCACTAGGTATTTGGTATGCAAATATTGATTATTATTGTTGTTTTATTTTTATTTTTCTTTTGCTTCTTTTGCAATATGCTGCTGGCGCTACCTGCCGCGCGCATGTCTTCACTTGAGGCGCGCCCAGCAGTCGGTGGTCGGCATGCGCTTGTAAATAGCTCAGTGGGTGAAATGTTCTTTGTGGTTGTTATTCTATTATACCTATATGTATGTAAAATGAATTTAAATATTTGTTGGCGTAGTCTCGCCATGCTTGGAATTATTGGTGTTGCGCAAAATTAATTGCTACTGTCATGCGTGTGCGCAATGATTTTATATGCGAGAATTCGGGAAGAAAACTAAGAAAGAGATTGGTGTAAAATTTTTCGCGAAGCGCCAATTACAGAATATTTTTTTTGTACCGAAGATGGCACCCAATAATGAGGTATGATATATTCTTAAAATAAAACGGATTTCTTACGACTGGCGGGTAACCGAAACGGAAGAATTTAGAAATTCTTCTATAGAGATTCTCCTTAATAAACGACAATAAATACTATAACAACCCGTAACACTTCGATACAACGAAGCCCTTAAAAATTGTATAAGTTGTAAGTAACGTGTAGGTTAAAATTATAATTTTTCCAACCTGTTCAGTTATACCTATAAAATTACATATTCCTTAGACGACATTAGATCCTTAGAATATAAGCTTTCTTCTCACCCCATGAAAGATATATACCTATATGGAAGTAAGTATATTAAAGGCAAATTACTTTCATTTCCATTTACAATTGCTAATTTACTTTACTTTTAGTGTCTCTGATAAAGCAGTTAATTCACCAAGTTACGTATACGCCCTGTGTAGCCGTTTAGTAACCATAATAAATATGGCTTTTGCAAGGCTATATTTAGAATATTTCTATGGAAAACTGCTGAATGAATTGTGATATGAAATATTGTTTCACATAGCAGATATGGACTAAGCATGTAGCTATTCTAATGAACCATGTAACGTTTGTTTGTGGCTACTATTTTCCTTACACTTAGAAACTTGTAAAAGTAATTTATAGTCACCTGATACACTGCGTTGTTTATGTAAATATTTTGTATCTTATTTCCGCACATATGGTAGATATCATTCGCTTTAGATGCGAATAACGCTGCTCTGAATTAATTATTTACTTTATGTCAATATACCATTAAATAAAAGATTTTACAATCAGCTGTTTTATTTAATTCTTAGCTGATCATGCTTATATCTCGACACTCAACAGACTCTGGCCTATCGGTGATCGCAGCAAAAAATATAAGAAAAAATTCGTACGTCATGTGTACTGCGGCCATTGTGGAAATGGAAGTATGGTGGACAATCTCAAGGCATAGTAATTATAATACAAAACTTGATTATATACTAGGTTTATGTATTTTATTTTTATTACTGCGCATTGTTTTTGATAAACGGTTGTATGTTATTTTTTCATGTATATACGTATTGACGTACCACAGTAAAGAAAATAAACAAGTAATGCTGAAACGCTGCTCTTAGATGTGACGAAGAGAGCGATATCAAGTATTGAACAGTTTAGATCAAACTAGAATAGAAAAAATCGATTTTTTTACTTCATGGGATATTGTAGTCTAGAAATAAATAAAAAAATCGATTAAAAAAAGTTTTTTTGAACATTTTCAAAATTTAACTATTCTAGAATATGTATACAAGAGAATTTTTTAAATTCAAAATAGTTTCGGAGATATAGGTATTTTGCTTACCCAGCATCCAAATTGAAATTTTAAACACGTTTTTCTCGAAACTGTTTTTTTTTTTCAAAACGATACCCATCATTTCCCTGGTTCTACGAGATAAATTTACCTGAAGCCATATGTCCAAATTTCTATTTTCAAAAAATTCGAAACAGTCAAAACAAGTGGTATAAACATAGTTTTTTCTTAAGACATTATTATAGATTAATATTTTTTTTTTTGTTTTGTTTCAGATAGGAGGGTTGAAATCGTGGTTATGGTCACGGACCCATTCATCAACTGTTAATTTTTAAAAATTTTAACTTTTTTTATTTTATTATGTTTTTCGGTATTCTTATAACGAAAATAAATATTTATAGAAAAATGGATAATAATTTGATATTGATTGCCTTTTTTTAAGACACTTCAAAAATTTCCTTGAAATTCATGCCTCTAGACTAGAATACCCCCTTAAAGCG